GGGGGGGATGTGGATGTGGATGTGGTTGTGCCACGCATCAGGTCTTTTCCGGTCGGACACCCCATACGGATTTCCCTGTCCTCCCGTCCCCGTCTCCTACCCTTTCAACTCCCCCCTCTTCCCTCCCCCCTTTCTCCCCCCTCAACCCCTCCCCTTCTTCCCCCCCTCGGCTCAGGTCCTTGCCGCCCGGCAGGCAGTCAAGGCCGCCATCTCGGAGCTGGAGGTGCAGCGGAGGATAGCCACCAGCGGGGGCCGGGGGCAGGACGGATGGCTGGAGAAGATGGTGGGGAGGGAGAGCGAGTGTGCGTATGTATGTGTGTTGAGTGAGTGAGTGAGTGTGTGTGTGTATATTTGGGGGATGAAAGTGAAGGGAGAGGGGCATGCGGCGAAGAAGTGGGGTGGTGGCTTGGGAGGATCTGGGTCGGGGCTGGCTCGTGTATGGCTGAATGGGGGCGGCGGTGGTGGTGGTGGCGGTGGTGGTGGTGGTGGTGGTGGTGGTGGTGGTGGTGGTGGTGGTGGTGACCGCGGACTGGTGTTTATGGAGGTGGGTGAGTTTAGACCACATGAGTTGAGGTGCGGTGTGGTTGGGGCGGTGCTGTGCCGGGTCGGTTGAACGGAAGGGGTGTGTGGGGGGTTTGAAACTTCAGAAGCCCCGTCTAACCACCTCCGCCGCCACCTCCACCCCCAAAACACTCATCTGGCTCGTCCGGCCTGGCCCCCACCCCGGCCTGCCAGCTATCCCCGCTCCACCCAGCCCCCAGTCCCCGGTACTCAGGTTCCCCCCACGGCCTCCAGCCCTTAGCGGCCAGACAATGCCCAGTGCAGAAATAAACCCCCCAACCCCTAACCCCCAACCCCACATTCAGGCCCGAGCGAAGCGGCTGTTGAAGAAGGCGGAGAAGCTGCGGGCCGAATGCCTGTCCAGCGGTAAATTGGAAAGCACGTGGAAGACCTTCCAGGTACGATATGCCGTACTGAGTACGGTCGTCGAGTTGCGTCAGACAGGGGGAGTCTTCTGGATTGGTTACCAACCGACCGCTTGCCGGGATGGGTGGAGCCAGACGGCGCATGGAGGGCTCGAGATTCCCCCAGGGGTCAGTGGGCGGTGCGGCGCCCCGTGTAGCGTCCTAAGTTTTTTTTTGCGTCATGGTGGTTTCGGGGCGCCTTTTGTAATGGAGGAGGGCGGGAGGGGGTCAGGGTGGCCCCCTTTTTCCCGCCACCTCTCGCCATGCTCCGGTTTACCTCCCCCTCCCCCT